CTACTAAAAATGGCACACACAAAAAACAACAAAATTACTAAAATTAAACTGAAAATGGAAAATATAAAAATAAAAACTCATTAATAAAAAATATAATAGTATCTCAATGATACTAAAATTACACTCTTTAATAAATCTTGGACTTTGAACTTGGAAATTCTCTATCTACGCACCCATGAAACTCTGAGGACTATACAGATATCATTGTATTTTCTCCATATGGAACTTGGTTTGTTTAAAAAAAAAAAAGACTATTAAACAAGTTCTAAATCACTCGCAACAGCAAGTATTACAAAAAAAAAATCCGAACAAAAGACAAACGTTAAAGAGTTAAAAAGTTGTAATTAAGCAGACCTGGACCTCCCATAAGCATTAAGGAACCCCCATAACACCCAAAAAATATACTTGGGTTGGGGGGTCCCCTGGCTTTTCAATAAAACTTTAATACTTAAAATAAAGTTTCGATTGCTGTATTAAATTTTGACCTGCTGATGTTACATCATATTTAATTTTTACGCGTTTTTACAGCGTTGCTCATTACAACCAATCACACACGAGTCTGTTGAGCTTAGGAATGCAGTAGCCAATCAGAGGCGTTCAGATGAGTCATCGCTGAAACCCCAGAGTTTTGTTCAGACTGACACTCGCGAATTCCCTCATCATAAGCAATAAAGTGCTGATGTATGTACGTCTTTATTGATTATAAGAGGAATTATGAGTGCTTATTAAACACTAGCTAGACTGAATGCTCATTTAGAGTGTGTTCTTTCACTGCATGATTCAGTATAATAAAATGCATTTAGAATGCTCCCAAAATTCAAGATATGGGGCAGAAAATGTATAAATTTATATAATTTCATTTAGTTGATCAATATCACACGAAGAGTGCCATTTTTCTTCGCAAAAATCACAAATGTGATATTGATTTTATACAAGAAGTTAATATTAAGAGACTTACGTTTTAGACACCATATTGCCTATTTTTTGCTCTATTTCGCCAACAAAAATGGTTCCAAACTGAGCAACATGACGGTGTTTCGTTCCTGAATGAATCACTCGTTTAAATGATTCGGGTCAATCGCAATGACTCACTTATTAACAGTGGCTTGCTGCCACCTGCTGGCGGTTTGAATTTCACATTTTAAAGTACCTTTTTATATATTTTTTAAATCATTTCAAATATCAGCATTCAACGTTTTAAGATTAAAATATCAAAACATTATTTATGCATGTGTAACTGCAGGTTAAAGCATCCATGTCTTGCATTAAACTGTGTATATATGCATCTAAATGCCACTTCAGACGCAGCTTCTGTGTTTCCTCTGCATTGCATGAGTTTTGTTGATAATGATTTTATTTGTTGGTAACAGCCCCAAATGACTTATCATTGTAATTGACTATATTGATGACTTTATTGAGAAAAACATGGCTTTATAAAGGTAAAAACGCCCATAAAGGGTAAAAATCATGTTAAACTTGTTGGAAAAGATTAATTTCTGTCACTGCTGTGAACTGACCACCACACAGAGTCAGCTGTCCGCGCAGTCCTGCAGCGCAACACACTCAGCAAAATATCGTCCGATTATCGACCGTTATCGATAAAATCCCAGAAAATATCGAGATATCATCTTTTGTTAACATCGCACACCCCTAGGCTAGATATTTAATTCTTCTTTACTTAGTGATTGTTCACTGATCATCGTAAAATAGATCTTAGAATTAGGTTCTCAATGATAACGAGGACAAGACAAAAAATCCCCCCCCCTTATTAATTAATTAGCTTACCGACTTGAGAATCTTAAAATCCTTACATCTACATATCCTTACATAAGTAATGAAGTACTTTTTAAAATAATTACAAATTGAAAAAAACAATTAAAACAGTTGTATGTTAAGAATTTTAAACTAATATAACTTCAAAACATACAAGCAAGTAGCAAATAGTAAAGAGGATAGAAACATATTACAAACAACAAACAAAGAGTGCTTTCAGTATTTAAGAACGTTTCCCGTTCAAGAACTGCGAGTGATTTTTCTTCATCTTTACTGTTGTTTTCAACTATATACAGTGTTTCCGGTTCCGGTGAGAGTACGCCGTGCGCGCTGCGGATGCGTCATTTTCGTTGTTTTGTTTTTTATTCGCCAATTATTTGCAAGCTGTGTGTAGGTTTGTGCTGCTAACTGCCCTACATTTGACCCTGTTGTCTATTACTGACAGATGATCACGGCTGTGAAACTATTATTCATGGTATTTCAGTTTTGAAAAATAAAAGACAAAGTTTAAGCTAAAAACATTCAATTAAAGGAACTAAGTTACAGGCAAAAAACAAAAAAACAAATAAAATAAACTGAAATAAAATATTTAAAAAACTTAAACTTATTTATTTTAGCTAGTCATCAATGCAACACTTATGTTTTCTCATTAACGTTTAGCACTAAAATAATAAAAACAACATTTCTGTTAGTTGAAATAAAATTAAACTTTAAGTGAAATAGTCAAATATAAAAAAAGATTTAAATTTTATTTCAGCTAGTCATCAAGACACCATTTCTCCTTTTCGTTTAGTTTAACATTTAGTACTAAAATAACACAACTAAACTAACTAAAACGATAAAAAATGTGTTACTTGAAATAAAATAAATGTTAAGTGAAATAAAAAATATAAATAAAATATTATAAAATAAAAAACTAATAATTTGTACAATTTTACAAATAAATAATATATATATATATATATATATATATATATATAAAACTTAAATTAATCTTATTTCAGTTAGTTGCCAAGGCAACATTTCACATTTTTGTTTAGTTCAACTTGGAGTACTAAAATATCTAAAACTACAAAAGATAAAAATATAAAATATTATGTATAAAATATATTATATTAAAAATATAAAAAGTATATGAAATATAAAAGATACAAATTTATAACAACTATATAGTTTCATAGATGAAAAAATTTATAGAAATAACAAAAAAATGATTAAAACTTTAACTAAAATTACAGCAAAAACAGAAAACATAAAAATAAAATAACATTCAAAATATGAACAAAAACAATAGTAGTATCTCAGTGATACTGAAATAACACTGGTTCAGGGTTACCGTCGGTATCTGTGAGCTCGTATGGTTCTGTTGCTCTGCTGTCCTCTCTCTTGTCCGGCTGGAGCTGTGACCACTTTCTGGAGAGCAATGCTGCTTCCATCGGGCAGCTGTACGACAGATGCACACAACGGCTAACTTTGATCGATTTCAGTAGTTTGATAGTTGAGCTGTTCTGATTAAAGACTCTAAGCTCATTGAGACGCATTATCTGACCGCCTGCGTCCCGACGTCCACCATCTCCACGCTTCCTCCAATGAGACGCAGTTTCTCTGCAGTCATGTCCATCCTTCTGTGTAGGTCGCTGGAGTCGCTCTCCACAGCGACCCACTTTCTCAGAGTCTGAAACACACTCAGGGTTGAGCAGAACTGAGAATTACAGAACTGCCGATTTCGACCCTTACGAAAAAGAAGTTTATTCAAGTGTGCTATTAGTATACTTCTTTTAAACTAAAAAGAACTTTACTTAAGTATACTTGCTAAAATAAACTTGAAGTATACTACTTTTTGGTAAGGGTATTCATGAGTGTCAATCTCAAGCGATTTACTAAAACAACACTGTAAAATCCAATAGTTGACCTTACTTAGATTTAATTAGTAATCTTTACTTAGTTGTTATACTTACTAGGTTTTATTAAGTTACAGCTACTTTCAAGGCAAATAAAACAATTTACTTACTGGAACATCACATAAGCTAACTTCATAAATTGATGTTGATTTTCCTAAAATTAGTTTTTTTTTTAAACTCACTGTTACAGTGATTAGCGTTCCCTTTGGTTGGGCACTTGGAACTTCGTTTATGTTACTTTCATTTTCTTTCTGTTAATGCAGCAATGCATCATGAAGTCAGAGTTATTTGATTTCAAGGGAAGCAATAAATAGGTTGCTTTTAGAAGGTGACCTAT